GGGTCTCAAACCCGCGGACTCAGGCAATCCACTCACCTCAGCCTCCCAAAGGCGTGGGATCACAGGCTGAGTCACTGAGCCTGGCTTCTCATGACCTTTGAATGGTTGCTTGGCTCAAGGCTTGGAATGTGAAGCTCTGAGGTCTCTACTGAAGGCTTTGTCCTTGAATCAGTGAGCTTGGTCTAAAAGAAACTTTAGGCTGGGCACAGTGGTTCACACTTATAATCCCAGCACTTTGGGAGGCCAAGGCAGGAGGATCGCTGAGGCCAGGAGTTCGAGACCAGCCTGGAGGACATAGTGAGACCTCATCCTTACAAAAAAAATCAAAAAATTAGCCGGGCGTGGTGGCACACACTTGTAGTCCCAGCTACTCGGGAGACTGAGGCCAAAGGATTGCTTGAGCCCAGGAGATTGGGGCTGTGGTGAACTGTGATTGTGCCTCTGCACTCCAGCCTGGACAATACAGTGGGACTCCAATGCTAAAAAAAAAAAAAAAAAAAAGAGGCGAGATGCGGTGTCTCAAGCCTGTAATCCCAGCACTTTGGAAGGCCAAGGTGACGGGATTGCCTGAGCCCACAAGTTCAAGAACGGCCTGGGCAACATGGCGAGATATCATCTCTACAATAAATAAATTTTAAAAATTGACCAGGTTTGGTGGCTCAGCCTATAATCCCAGCACTTAGGGAGCCTGAAGCAAGTGGATTGCTGAGCCCTGGGGTTCAAGACCAGCCTGTGCAACTTGGGGAGACCTCGTCTCTACAATAAAATCTTAAAAAATTAACCGGGTGTGGTAGCGCGCCAGTAATTCTGGCTACTTGGAAGGCTGAGGTGGAAGGATCAACAGAGCCCAGCAGGTCGACGTCAGGGTGGCCATGAGCGTGCCACTGCACTCCAGCCTAGGCCACAGAGTGAGACTCCAACTCAAAAAAAAAAGAAAGACTTTAGTTCCAGCCTCCACTAGCCCCCCCAATCCTCCATCCCCCAATAGAATGGGCATGGGGAACCTAAGAGGAGAGTGCGGATGGCCCTGTCAGCTGTCCCTGATGTAAGAGGAATAGCTCACAGCCCACGAAGGCATCGTTAGACGGAAGGACTGACAGCCTTGGCCTCACAAGGCTGGGCGGTTACTGGTGCAGAGGGAACCTGCTAAGAATTCCTTCTCGGCGATGGTGGCTGGGAATGCTGTTCTTCCGGGGCAGATGTCTCTGGTCTTGGGTCGGGCTTGGATTCCCCTGGCACCGAAGAGAGAAGAGAGGAAGTGTGGGCATGCACGTGGAGAACATTCTTGCGTTCATCCTCACGCCGTCCCCCTTCCCAGGGGAAGTCCCGATGCCTTCTGGCCCAGCCGAGCTGCCCCGTGTCCTCTCCAAAGACCCGCGTCAGCCTCTGCCAGGCCCCTCGTTTCTGTCCTGGGATGACTAAATCTGCTGACACCCACCTTTGGCCCCGCCTTTCCTTCACGAGTTTAGGAAGGGGTGGGGAGCACTGAGCGAGCCTGGATGTCCCAGATTCCCGGAAATGTCACGGCAGCGCAGAGGCAAGGAACCTTAACAGCACTAGAGGTCATGCTGTCTTGCCAGCCCCCTGCACCCACACACATCTGGGCAGATGTGGCCTTGGTCCTGGGGAGCGGAGTCAGAAGAAGGGCAGGGATGCCGAACGCCTTCATCTTCTGGGGAACAGAGAGTGGGCAGGAGGTCCTGACTCCTGACCCCATGGCTGCCTGAGGCCAAGGACGCTTGCCCACTGACCTTGGGGGGCACTTGACCACCCCACCCCGCCCCTCACTATCAGCAGAGAACCATTACTGGACAGTGGGGAGTGGAAGGGGATCCCGTCACATCTCTGACCTCTCGGTCCCTCTGCAGGTGCTCCAGTGGCTTTGACCGCTACCGCCAGGAGTGGCTGTCCTACGGCTGTGCCCACGAGGTGAGAGGCATGAGTATCTGCTGCAGCCCCTGCGCCAGGGGGTGGGGAACAGGAGGGCTGCCCAGGCCCCGCCCCTGGAAGCTGTCCTCAGGGTGTCTCTGGCCTTTGGGGATAATCCCTCCCTCCTGAGATTTGTTTTCTAGACTGCTCTGAGCCAACTAGACTCACTTTGGAAGGCTTTAGAGCAGCAGACCCCCAACCTTTTTGACATCCCCTGACCAGTTCCATGGAAGACAATTATTCAACAGATGCGGGGGAGGATCATCAGGCATTAGATTCTCATAAGGAGCACCAGCCTAGATCCCTTGCCTGTGCAGTTCACAGTAGGGTTCGAGCTCCTTTGAGAATCTAATGCCGTGGTTGATCTGACCGAAGATGGAGCTCAGGCGGTAATGCAAGCGAGGAGTGGCTGGAAATACAGATGAAGCTTCACCTGCTTGCCCACTTGCTTGTCTCACCTCCTGCTATGCGGCCCAGTCCCTAAAAGCCCGTGGACTGGTACCAGCCCGTGGCCAAGGGGTTGGGGACCCCTGCCATAGAGGGCTCTGGGCTCCCTGAAGGGAGCACTTCTGACGCCTTGCTGAGGGGACAGCTCTCTAGGAAATCTCCGTCCACGCAGAGGGGATGCTAGTTGTGGCCTCAGCCACCGCTTGCCTCTCTGGGAGACTGTGCACCTGGTGACATCAGTGAAGCGCCTGCCAAGGCTCTAGTACCCTGGCTTTTGAGGGAGGCAGTCATTCTGGGAATGAGGAGGGTTGCTCTAGGCACGTTCCCCGCCCCCGCCATTTTGGAATCCCTTATAGGTTCCTTCTCACTGCTGGAATTTTCCAGAACACTCAACACTTTGGTTCTGGGTGGGGAGCATCCTATTCTCACACCTTGGACTAACACAGACAGATGCATCCCCCCCTACATCTTTCCCTCCCTTGCTCTCTCCGTTGTCTCTTCCTGTGAGGCAAGCACAATGTGTGTGCCAGGCACATCCCTGCCTGCTGCCCGGCACTCACTTGTCTTGAACATGACTCCAGAAGCTTGGGCCAGCACCCCCAGGGATCAGAGAGGGAGACTGAGGCTCAGAGAGGTCCAGTGACTTGGCCTGTGTCCCACAGCTGGAAGGTGCCGGGCCCAGCAATTAAATGTCGCCTCCAGATCTTGCTGCCACACGCTCACCACGGTCTGTTTCATTAGTCGGTGTCTGGGGGAGTTGTCTCTTTCTAACCTTAAAAAAATCCCATTCAAGCCAGGCTCGGTGACTCAGCCTGTAATCCCGCGCTTTGGGAGGCTAAGGTGAGTGAAGTGCCTGAGCCCGCGGGTTCAAGACCCGCGTGGGCAACTTGGCGAGACCTCATCTCTACAATAAATCAAAAATTAGCCGGGCGTGGTAGCGCACGCCTGTAGTTCCAGCTACTTGGAAGGCTGAGGCGGAAGGATCACCGGAGCCCAGCAGGTCGAGGCTGCGGTGGCCGGGAGCGGCCACTGCACTCCAGTCTGGGTGACAGAATGAGACTCCAACTCAAAAAAAAAAAAAGAAAGAAAGAAATCCCATTCACAGCCCGATGCTCAGACCTGCTCTGTTTAAGATTGGCCTCTCAGCTGCTTCCTTGAGAGAGGATTTGAAGCAGCTGACAGACCACTTGCCCTGTGAGTAAGCTGCTTTTGGGATAACGTGGAAGGTGCAATGCATTCAGGCGTGGTGCCTGGCCTCTCTTGCAGGCAGAGGGCAGGGTGTGCGAGGACTTCCAGGACGAGGACCATTACTCGGCCTCCCCTGACAGTTCCTTCAGCCCCTCTGATGGAGACCTCACCACCACCTCCTCCTCCGTCTTCCTTGACAGCCTCACCACGGAAGGTAAGGCCTGGGCCTAGGTGGGGAGTAGGGTGGGTGGAGGCTATGGGGATGAGGAACATTCTCAGGGGTAGGAGCTGCCCCTTCTCCTTGTCAGCCAAGGGACCTGCGGCTCAGAGAGTTCAGGTCCCTTGTGGTAAGAAGCAGAGCCAGGTTTAGAAGGAGTGGACACCACTCCCAGGCTCCACCATGGTGCGGCCGCATCTGGGCCGTGGACCGAATTTACTTTGCAGAGGAGGAAGACAAATGCCCCAGCCCAGTGCCAGGTCATTGATATCACTTAGCTCATTCTGACGGGCATCCTCACAGAACCTGTGAGGTCTTCCCAGCCCCGTAGCAGATATGAACTCAGCCCACGTGCAGGTGTGAATGAGTGCCTGATCGGCTGGAGTGGTGGGGACTTCCGCCTTAGCCTCCTGGCGCTTGGCTCCCTGCCCTGGTGACCCTGTGCAGGCAGAGGGTCCAGCTGGGACCACAGGCCCTCCTTCTTGGGTTGGTGCCCATCTGCCCTGCCCATTCAGGCCTGGCCGTCCCCAGGGGCTTCTCTGCTACCTCAAGGCCTGGGCATCTTGGATGAAGCTGAGAGGTCTGCCCATGGAGGCACCACACAGTGTCTCGGGAAGCTCTGTGAAGGCTCCTCCGTCCCCCTGGGCCCTCACATCCCTTCCCTTCTC